TAGAAATTTTTGTTTCATTTCTTAAGGGTGCTTCATTAAGTAAAAAATAGTATTAGCGGTAGAAATTTTTGCTTCGTTTCTTAAAGGTGCATCAATAAGAATAAATTTTGCATTAGCGGTAGAAATATTTGCTTCATTTCTTAAGGGTGCTTCATTAAGTAAAAAAATAGTATTAGCGGTAGAAATTTTTGCTTCGTTTCTTAAAGGTGCTTCAATAAGTATAAATTTTGCATTAGCGGTAAATTTTTTTGTTTCAATTCTTAAGGGTGCTTCAATAAGTAAAAAATTAGTATTAGCGGTAGAAATGTTTGCTTCATATCTTAATGGTACTTCAAAAAAGTTAGTATCAGCGGTAGAAATTTTTGCTTCATTTTTTAATGGTACTTCAATATGTAAAAATTTTGCATTAGCGGTAGAAATTTTTGTTTCATATCTTAAGGGTGCTTCAATAAGTAATTTTTTTGCTTCATTTGTGAATGGTGCTTCAATAAGTAAAAAAATAGTTAAAGTTAAAGAAAAAACGATTATTATTTGGTAATAATAATCTGTAAATAACAACAAATTTACAATAAAAATAGTGAAGGTTTTATTGTTAAGTAATATTTATGGGTTTTTTAAGTTTTGAACTAAAATTTTCCATTAGCGTTAGAAATTGTGCGCATAATTTTGCTTCAAGTTGATAAAATGAAGAAAAAATAACGTAAAATGTTGATCACATTCCAAATTTGTATAAATTTTAACAAATTTGTTATAAAATACAGTAGTTTTAACTATTAAGTAATATTTATGTGACTTAAGTCCTTTATAAAATTGCAATTCATTGAAATTAAGTAAAAAACTATTGTAGATTTTTAGTAGAATTTATTGTATAATATTTTTCATTATAAATTAGTAAAAATGTGTAAAGAAAATCGTTAAGTTATACGATTATCGTTACGTTATACGGCTTCACATAACTTTGGGATTATGCCGTGTTTACATAAGTTTACAGCTGTAAATTTCCTATAGGCAACACAAATATCATATAACCTTGAAGCTTCGTACATCAACGATCATCGAATCGACTATATTCGGTAACATTTCTCGACGTCAAATGCATTATTATTAAACACTAGAGATGTCGCTGGTTGTATTCTATTTACTTTCTAAATAACTAAATAATTTTATGCTATTAATAATAAAATACGTATTAATAGTGATGTAATTACGTTTTCACCGGATTTGATTAATTTTTAATTGAATCCAATTGGATTTTGCTGCGACAACTAGTGACATCTATTGTATTAATTATCCATAAGTCAATTCTTTGTTAAAAGAATTATATTTAAAAATTAAAAACGAAATATTTACGTATTATTTTGATAAGCTTTCAGTAAATTGCATAGTTATATAAGAAATATTGAATGATGCAACGATTTACATAAATTTGTTAATTCAGTCACTCTCTAGCAGATGTCGCATGTATCCTGTACGTTAGAATTTATTTAAAATCAAGTAATGATTACATTTATTTGTACAAGTTGTCAAGTACTTGTATTAAGAAAAAAAAAATGCATATTGTGCATGAAAATGATTAAATTAACTGTTTACTAATAGCATTTGAATTGTTACAAAGTAATTCCTATTCATAAATTGAGAATAGGTAAAAACCCGTTTCTCAAGTACCTAATGTAAAATAAATAGTTTTAAAGAATAGGAATTTTGTGACAAAGAGCAACAGGTACAAACCATTATAAGGAGGCGTGAAAACAACCGCTACCGACTATTAACCTAAACCTTTTTCAAGAAAATAAAAAAGTAACACCTTGGACAATAGAAAATGATTTTATGGTATGTAGGTAGAAGAAGGTATAGAATATGAAGAAACATACCGCAGCAACTTAAAAACAGGTAATAAAAGTTCTATTTACATCCTATGGAATTACACAATGATACTTGAAGTTTCTATTATTTCATTTGTTTTTTTTTAATGAATCTAGTAAAATACATTTAGATACGTCATCTATTGAAAATTGGAACGAATTTTCCCGGACAAAATTAATGATAACTTAAATATAACTTTCCTAAATTACTCGTGATCAAAGCGAACGTGTAATTTGTTTTATTTGCTCAATTTTCTTAATAAAAATTAACAAATATCGAAGACGCTGGTGCGATTTTCAGAGTCAAACATCAAATTAATTGCTTTTCGATAATGAAAGAAAACAAGTTTTCGGATCTTAATTACAGTTAGTACACACGCATATCGGGGAGTTTCGAATCTTATTTACGTTCATAATTTCTTGTGGATCTTTGCGTACAAAATTGTTGCTGACGTTTCTAATTAGAATGACGATTTGCGATTGGTTGAATCTCTCATTATGACAGTTCACTTGATAACGTACTGTCATAATAGTTGGGTTATGTCAGCGACTTAAATGTCAAACGTCACATTGAGAATTGACCAATCGCTGATTCTCAAAATGACATTTGACATTTACGTTCTGTCATTGGTTTTGTTATGTTATCAATGTATTTACAAATAACCTTAAGAATATGCAAGAAAAATGATTATTTGCGTTTCCGAATTTAAACGAAAAATTAGTGCATAAATCGAAATTAATTTATAATG